CGGTGGAAATCCCTGGTGAGCCGGGAGATGTTATTTAAGATGAGGTGGAGAATACTTGGAGCGAACATCCATCCGTGTAAAGTGTCGAATTATTTATCTGGTGTACCCTAAGCTTACGGCGAAAATTACATACCACGCTTGCTATTGTTCTTCTTTCTACATGTTCAGAGACAGGACTCCCTATTTCCTTTTTCTCCCTTTTGTGTTTGGTGGTTTGCTTGCAATTTTCATGAATATTGAGACCCAGCAAAAGATTAACGCATTAACTGATAGTTTTGTCTTTAATGAGTTACAATAAAACGTCTCTTTGTCTTCCTTTTGTCTTAGTTGATCCGCTGCAAACTGAATATCTTATGACGCAACACGAACAATTTTCGGTTATTGGACATGATGTCAAACAAACTTGGTCTGCTGTGTCTCCAACCAACAAAAACTTTCAGAGCGGTTTCAAAGTACCTAGGTACCTTTAAGGGCCACACAATATCATGTTGTGGTCACATCACTCGGTCAGGTCAAATTTGAGTCATAACATCGTGAGCCTTGTTTTTGCAGATAACTATCTACACAAATCCGCTGTATGGATATTTGAACTTTGGGTTCCCGCTATTTCTAAGACAGGGAAGGGAAACAAGACAAGCCAGCTGTAAACAGCAGCGTCCAATGAGAAACAACCATCGGGAGAACCAAGAAAGCCAGTCTTGAAGACACTCCAATAGTTGCCATCCTTGACATGGGTAAGGGTGAGATGAAATGAAGAAAAGCCAAGCAAAGGCTAGCAGAAGAAGTATATAAGGCAGAAGTTTGAAAGTGAAAAAAGGGTTCCAGCTACGTGAGTAACTATTTCGTTGTTTCGTAGATGGCGACGTAGGCAACCTCCATCATGTTATTGTATCCTGCCTCGGTGGCCTTGTTGGGGTTGCCCTGTGAGTTTATGTTAGTACTCTAATCCTTTGTCTTACAAAATGATAAGATATATAACTTACAGGCCAGTTGCCGCCGACAGCGACGTTGAGAAGGACGTACATGGGAGAGTGGGCGAGAGTAGCCCAAGTTCCCTCGTCGTTGAGAGTCTTGCCTGAGATGCTGTGGAAAGGTGTGCCGTCGAGAAGCCAGGTAATCTTCTCGTCCTGCCAGCTGGCGGCACGTCGGTCGATAACCACAGACCAGGCATGGAAGTCGTTATCGGGAATAGTGACTCGCTGGCCGAGGCCTTCGGGCTCGTTGCAAGGACCACCACCCTCGTGTCCACAGTGAACAGTACCAAAGCCCGTCATGTCACCATTGACTCGCTCAAAGATGTCGATCTCACCACAAAGAGGCCACCCTGTACCATGGCGGAGGGCATCGCCGAGCATCCAAAAGGCAGGCCACATGCCCTGCTTACGAGCCGAGTCGCCCATTCGAATGCTAGCCTCGACACGGAGAGCTTTGTTCTTGTCTGCGTGCCAAGCCTTCTTGGACTCGAGGCGTCCAGAAGTCCACTCGCCCTTGCCATCCTTCCAGGGGACGAGCTGGAGGGTATCGCCACCGGAGAGCTGAATGTTTTTGTTGGAAGTGCTATACACCTGAAGTTCGTTGTTGGAGTTGATATTGAGAGCCGTGTTCCAGTTGTCATCCTTGGGAGTGCAGCCTTGGCAGCCGGTGAACTCGTCCTTCCAGAGCAGCTTGAGTCCGGGACGATGAGGAGCAGTGGTGGCAGAAGCCAAAGAGGCCAGGGCGGCGAGGATGGGGAGGAAGTTGAGCATCGTGTAAGTCGAAGTGGAACCTGTTGTAGAAACGGAGACAAAGATGTCTTGGATACTGAGACTTCTGGAATAAGTTTGAAGTCTTTATATATATATATATATATTTTTTTTTTAAAGAAATGAACGAGTGTCACAGCCGGTAAGAGCAGATAAAGGAATGTTATGCCTCCAGGGCTAAAGGAATGAAACCGAAGAAGGCAAGAAAGAGTGTGTATCAAAAGGAGCGAAGGAAGCTTGAGATGATCGAATCTCGAAGCAAGGATTTAGAAAAGAATGTGGGAAAAAAGACACAAAGAATGGCTGGACGTGTGGTGGAGAACGAGAGAAGAGAGAGATCACTGGCATGTGGGATGTTTTATATATAGGTTCTGTGTCTATAATACCCAAGCGACCCGAAACAAGAATGACTCCACTCCTTCTACGAAAACGAGATGCGAGGACCAAGAGACCCGGCATAACTAGGCTCTCCCCCAAGAGGTAATATGAGCATGGGTATTGATATGAGACTGGAGAAGATGGGGTAGAACTGGATGGGCAAGGTAGACAGCATGAATCACATCAAGAGACCAGGATGAAGAGGCAACGGGTGATGTTCAGGCACAGGAGCAAGCTGAGTGGATGGTTACGAGACTAGACAGCAGATACGGATATGCAGGTCGAATTTGCAGGGGTATGAGGAACGCTACGTACAGACTTCTCTACTAATAGACTATGCACTCTTGAGCAAAACGTTCGTCTAAGCCGGCTGGCTAGTCTGGTGTAGCGGAAATAAAACCAGGGGCATGCAATTATAGATTTTGCCCACTAAGCCCATGCAAACCCTGTATACTTCCACTTGGGAACATGAATTCGGAGATGAGCTAAATGAGACCATGACTCTCTGTTGCTTTTCTTCAGCTGTTGAATATGACAGCAGTTCAACGACAATGCCGAGCGCTTAATAGCGATGAGAACAAATTGGACTCGAACAGAGTCAAGGGTTCTCGGGTACTGCTTGAATCTTGGCAGCCACTTGAAACAAAATGGTAGAGAATCATTAACCAACGAGGTTTAGGCAGACTACGCGGCTCAAGAAAGGAGGTGGAAAGTGTCAGGGATTAAGCGTCGACTAAGACCAGGGACAGGTTCAGTACAGTGACCATAGTCTGGAAGAGAGAAAGAGAAGAGATAAAATATTGTGTATGCACAAGACTTGTTGTCTTTCTTGGAGGTTTCACTTGGCTTCTTGGTGGTTGTATTTTTAGCAGGTTGATCATTGACTTTGCATGGCGATATTCGTATCGAGGTTCGGGAATGGCGCCATTGGTATTTGGGATGCCCTGGGTTATAGTAGACGAAATTACCAAGTCATTTTGCCCCGTTTAGAATACACTTTTAGAATGTTTATTTTTGTACCACAAAGCTTGAAGGTTAGCTTTTCTGTTAGACCAAGATTGAGTTTGTGCTACTGTAAATCATCAATTAAATAAATCTACGACCCGAAAGGCTAAGTATGGTCGAAAGAAACCAACATCAACATCAACAGAGCTGAAAGCGTTATAGAATTTGTTTCTTCGTCTATTTGACTTGACAGCATGATACTACGGAGACACTAATTAGAACACGACACTATGTGTTTCATGATTCCAATAGTGAGGCCAACCACGATCAGAGAGAGTCGGCGATATGTGATTAATTAATTAATAGGCCGCCAAGCAACTTGGGCTGACAGATAGTTAAATCGGGTTTCCCACTCCACTGATCTACCACTTGTTTGTTCAGCAAGCCTCCCCCATATTCAGACTCCTATCTCGTATAGCTCTATACAAGAAACAGGATCCGACGTCTTGGTTCTGTCAGCCAACTCATACTTGACCAATGCTCAATGCTAAAGGCTCAGCCATCGTATCCGTGCATAGAGCATCGACCAGCCTGAAACTAACCAACTCAGCCCGGTTGTTTGAATAAACGTGGCACCTGAAATACCAAAATATAGCCCATCTTTTCTTTTATATAGTTAAAATAGCCTCAATCGGTAGACATTTGGATTGGTTCTAGATCGCCAAGCCTTTCGTTGAGCTGTACGATTGTCCTTTCAAAGACACACGCCGCATCGAGCTGCAGCATCATTTCGTCGTCGTCTTCCACGCTGCCCCAGCCTTTGATTGCCGGTGTTTCTGTATCGGTGTCCATGTCCATGTCCATGTCGGTGTCTGTATCTGTATTTCCCCCCTCTTCATCCTCATCTTCCTCGTCTTCCTCTGCGGGGTCTCGCATCACCTCGACCATTAATACGCGACATTGGCCAACCAAACTTCGGCATCTGATCATCTCTGTAGTTGTCATACCGCCGCGCAGCCCATTCTCGAAGCCCGGTAGTGTCTCGTGAGTTTCAACATCTTGGCCTGAGAGAAGACTGGCGAAACAGTGATCGAGTTTGCGTAGAATGGCGAATGATGCTTTTGGCGCAGGCGGGAAGCCTCGGACGTATCGAGTAAAGTCACTCGTGAGACGTAGTAAGAATGGTATTTGCAGTGTTGCTGCAAGACTTCATTAATACTAGACTTGTATGATTGAGGGTTCGGGGTATCTTACGGGTTCCTGATCGCCATAGAACGTTTATGACGCTATCAAAGTCTTTGCAGACCTCACCAAACCTTTTATACCCTACGACTGAATCATCTGGCTCAGCATTGCCAAACTTTTTGACGTAGCGTCGTGTAGCCAACATCAGCTGCTCTTCTGCATATCTACGAACCATGAATTCCTTGCTGGAGTTTGCCTTGAGTGCCTTGTTTCTTGGTGCAGGAAGACCTTGGATGTTGTTTGCAACAGACGAGGTTGTTGAAGGCGCGAGTGATGGAAGGCCACCTGGCGCTGGTAAGAAACCACCTGGTCCTGGTGAATCCATCTTGAAGTTGTGTTCTTCTCTACGTGAGTGTGAGTGAGTTTGGTGAGAAATGAAGATGAGAGAAACGGGGTCGATTAGAATGAAGGTGGTCACAACTGACAAGAGAGTGAAGTAACGTCGCTCTTATACGCTTTCTTCAATAACTTTGTTTGTTCAAGAAGTAAATATTCAATCAACATAAAAAGTTGAGTAATCGTGCAAAGGATTAGGATATGTATTGACTGGTATGTTTGTACAATGACCAAGAATTTGTTTAATTAATTTATAAGCCTGTAATAATGAAATGCTAATGGCATTGAGAGTACTGGTGATGGTGGGGCAATAAGTGCCTATAACTCAGCTGCTCACTACCACTTTCGTCACAGGCTGGTATCATGTGACCTTATCTGCTATCAGCAACAAGGCTTCAATTGAGCTGTATCCGAAAATTTCCCTCGAATTCAACGACGACGTCAACAACCTCACTCGAACCGCGCGCACGCTTCTACTCGACTCACTAGACTTCTCCCATTTCTCACGCGAACCCGATACCGAATTCTTCACAATGGCCCCCAAGCGCATTGCCGTCGAGCCTCGATCTCGCCGTGCTCCCAAGGGTATTATCGGCTCCACCTATGACGCTCTTACCTCTTCTGAGAACGCCGCTGTCGTCCGCAGCATCGCTATCTTTGGTGTATGTTTGGTCCTGTTCTATTCTCAAAATACAGGAGGCTTAGTGGATGTACTTGTACTGACCAAGTGGAATAGTTTGCAGTGACATTCCTGTCCAGCTCTTGGGGCGAGATCCTTCTGCCTCCGTAAGTCGACCCTCGACGCCAGACTTTAATGAACACCCAGTTGACCTCTTGACAGCCAGTAAATGACGCTGTAACGATACGCGACCAAAGAAACTGCGTGGGAATGGAAGAAAATCAGTTCAGGGGTTAGGAATGCGCCAATATCCGCCTCCCCTCTGTGCATTATTTAATCGAATCACTTGTACATTAGTTGGAGTCAGTGTACGTTTTAGACAGGAAGGGATTTCAAAGCTAGCCTGTGCCTGTCCAAGGGCATTATGATACCGGCTGCATAGAAATCGACATGATCAATACTTACGGGTTGGATATGATACAACGCCTCTATCGCTTCTGTTCTGTGTCAAGCTACTCCGTACATTCTGCATATTTCCGTTCAACTTGGCTTGAAACGCAATCAGTTTTGATACGACACAAATGGACGATAGTGCCTTCCTTTACGGGTCATGAACGAGCAGCGGGACGCTCCTGCCATCTACGCCAGAGATATTGATCTTCAACTGCCACGCATTTGCTGTCTTCAAGGCTATTCCAGACACAGCTCATTCGCATCATTTTAACAGACTTTGACGGCATCAACACTTAAACTTTCTCTTCATCTTGACGCATCACGGCGTAATCTATTCAATCAATATTACCGTTTCAACTTGCACAAGAACTTGGGGGTATCTGATTTTGCTGGGACAATATGACCTCGCCGTTGTTCTCCTCCGCAATCTCGCCGCGCAAGATTATATCCGAGGGTTCAGAAACTCGTAGCCTGGCCGGTGGTAAATTAGCACAACTTGTTTCCAAGTTCGAATTCCTTGATGCTGTTTCTTCGGTTGGCAATTCGCCTCATGGTTTGTCAAAACCCAACCTCATTACTTCTGTCACTTCCCCTTCTATAGTTGGACAGACTCCGTCACGATTACCGAAAATATCGTCTCAACAGTCGACAAACGCAAGGGAGAGAAGCTCAATCGATAGTCATCTCTCATCCAATCGCTTTACTACTTCAAGTCAAGAGCCCATTCTTGCCCGCCGAGTGCAAACCTTTGGGACCAAATCACCCGCTACCCCTAGCAAAAGTGTTGACATAAAATCGAGGCAAAAGTCTGTTTCAGAGAGGAGAAATATATTTGAGACAGCAAACCAGCAAGCTGGTATGAACAAGGTTGGCCTATCTCTGCCAAACATCTAATGACGGTGTATACAGGACTCTCAGTTTCTCCTCGTGCGTCTTTAGTTCCTCGACCACCGTCGCGGCTGGCCCATTCCAAAAGCTGGCGGTCTCTCAAGAGCAGATGTTCTGCCGCACAATCTTCTGCATATCATGAGTCAACAGACCATGACCCAAATACAGCCTCAAAGACACGTTCTCCGACATCCCGGTTTATCCCCTCACCCCGGACTCTTCTGGCTTCTGACGATCCGTTTGTAAAGTGGCGATCCCCATTGACCCGACCAGACGATTCATGGACGTCCTTCAAGCGTAGCAATCTCGCGACGACTGCACCAGATGCAAGCCCAAGCTACATAAGGTCCCAGTATACCGAGGTGTCTCCACAGATAGATAAGAGACCATCGGCACACGATGTCAAATTCGAGTCTGTACGCCGCAATGATCCTGTGCAAAGGCAAGCTCCAACCGAAGAAAACCGGCATCACGGATGGGTACGCCATGCTCAAAAGATAGCATCTTCATTGTCTAACACAGTATATGGGGGAACATCAAGCACCCAAAACAAATCTCTTACATCGCCTGATCTCTTTGATCAGGGTCCCTTCAGCAAGAACGATATCATGTCCTTCAAGCTTACGAGCACACGTAGCACAAGTCGTTCCAAGCTGCCACACTCCAAAATCTCAGGCTTTCGAAAGAGACTTGAACAGTCAAAAGAACGACCATCAGTTGCATTTGCGCTCGGGAACAAGAAGCGTCACGAATCAGTCCCTACAACAGTTGGAGCGCCAATTTCATCTCTAGAACTTCCATTACTCAAGTCTTTTAGTTCATCAGAGTCGGAAGTTTTAAATACGCCAAAGATTAGGTCCAAAAGCCATACCCCTTGCCGAAGCCAGACCCCTATGCGATCACTTCAGAATCCAGTTGGACGTCGTAACACAGAGAAAAATGACTCACCTCTGAAGCAAAAGATCAGTCTTTTCGAGTCATTGGAACGCCGCAATTCGGCTTCTAATGATCTCCACGTAGGAATTGACAGCCAACAAGCCTTTGTCAAGCCTGATAAGCATGAACGAAGGGACTCGATCATAGCCCCCCTCCGATCCTTTCCGGGAAAGTTACGGCGAATATCTACGTCCTGTCGAAGGACACCATCGGAATGGAGCACTACGAGCTCGAGAGATGTCGGTAACTCCACGATGCAAAGTTCTGATACTAGCCTGGTGGCTCAAGAAGAACAAATTGTTACGGCAACAGCTGAGGAGCCCTTGTCACCTCACACCATTGATCCCATTCCATTACAGCCTATTCTCAAGCAGACCTTTCTCACCAATGAAATATCACCTCTTGTGCTGGAAAAGCCTTTGTCTTTCCCTCGAGCCTCCGTTGCCCGAACGGGCTTCAATATTGATGGCGAGGCTGGCCCAGGTATAGCGCCCCTTCCTTTGTTCGCCGAACCTCAAAGACGATTCTCTCGCACCAAGCATGTTCTCTCTCGAGCTGCCAACCGGGTTTATCTACCAGATACGGAAACCGAATTTGAGTTACTTGAACTTCTCGAGGACAATCTCAAATGTGTGTCTGAAGAGAGTCCCCCCATCTCCAATGCGCGCTGTTTGTTGGAGCAACCCAGACCAGTGCGCGCGAATGAGTTGAGGCGACTTGTCAGTATGTGCAAGGACAAAGTCAGAAAGATCTCAGGTGGCCGTAGCGAGTAAACAAATGCCTCATCACACGAGTTCTGTCAAAGTGGACGAACAAGTCATTGGGTATGTTGTCTTAGTGCGACTGGGGCTTAGATGGTAGCTGTTATGCAGTATATAAGTCAATCAGCTACATCACTGTCACTACTGTTTCATTTGCCACTGGCGAGTGTCACTTAAGGGTTTGACGTTGAGTATCACAATTGGTACCCAGGAATGATTGTCAACCTGATGTATTATTCGTCGTTACGGTGCGCTTGGGCGCTAGACTATCTTTCGACTAAAGAAAAAGCAATAACATGGATAGTATTTCCTTGATCAGAAACCATGCGAGCCACCAATAAATTTGGTAATGAAAATAAGATAAGATGCGAGTCACCTCAAACATCAACGGCCTGGCTGGGGTATCAAGGCTGTTCGCTATGGAAAGAAACGAATACAATGTGTAACTGAGGATTTGCCGATACGCCACGCTAGATGTTGGTGTTTTTTATTCGAGGCCTTTGCTCAAAACATGTAGAATGCTTTAACTCCGAAATGTGACTTTTGATGAGTGAAAAGGGAAGCAATTGTTGTACGCCGCTTAAAGAGGAGCCCGGATTCGCTCCTCACGCTGAAGAAAGGCTCTGTCAACTCGGACGTGGTGATCAGTTTCAGGGTCCAGCTTGGCGAGTTCCACATCTTGAGGGTTGATGTGCTCGCGAGATGACGTGCCAGCCTCGCATCGGGCGTAGATCGAAACGTGAGGTCTGTCGGTGGTGCCGGTACTGAAGCTGGGTGCCTTAAAGCCTGTGAAGGAGCTGGGCCCGCTGACGCCGTAACGGATTCCGCTTGAAGCGCCGGTCGAGTTGGCGCTGTTGGGAGCGCTGTTGGCAATTCGCTGGGCGGCGAGAGTGCCTAGAGGGAGAATCACAGCGACAGAAGTAAGAGTCAGGGATGCTGATTCAAAGTCGACAAAGTGAGCCCATTCAAGTGAAGCGAAAATGACTGCGATTGATTAGTTAGATGTTCTTTGAGGGATTGGTGAAGTAACAGATGGGTACAAACCTGGAATGATCATCAAGATACCGTTGGTCATGATGAGAACTTCCATTGGAGTAAAAGTCTTGTATGACGGGAGAATGCCCCGGTTTGAGATGAGATGCCAGACAAGCTTGATGTTGAAAATGGCACACCACCAGGAGATGGAGGCGACGTTCATGATGACTGTCCACTTAATAAGCCAAAACATGTGATACGCCGGCTCCAGCTTGAGAACTGCGTTGTTCTGAATGATGGTGTAGGCGAGTCGGACACTGATAGCCATGATGGATACGGCGAGTGAGATGCCGGCGATGATATACTTCCACATATTGGGCCACAGTCGGACCATTGTCCAAGCCTGGCTCATAAGCATTGACTCGACAGAGACAACAAGACAGAGAGACATGGTGTTGCCAGCCACCGAAGGAGCGTAAGCGCTGCGTGGGATACGACTGTGGTCGTCGCCCCAGAAGACATAAAAATCGAGGAATTGCGATGAGTGAAAGATGCTGAGCAGTAACATTCGACAGCAAGCGATGACAAGACTGGCGATTTGGAGAATCATGAAAGATCTGCGGAACTTTTCTTTTGGAACCATGACGAGGAGCACGACCAGCATGATGAGACAAGCGCCGAGCTGTGTAGCATAATTGATGGTGGTGTTTACCATCATACGGCGCACCTGGTCAATGGCAGCTACAGGGATGCTGATTTCCGTCTTTCCATCGGGAGCGAAAAAGGTGACGTTCTGAGTGAACGGGTCAAAGGGTTCCTTTGACATGGTGGTATCTGCTTATCGACTGAGAGTCGAAGAAGGAGAGAAAAGAGGGTTGTTGTTGTCGGCGATGGACTGTCTAAACGACGTCAACTCCAATGAGTGGCAATGAAAGGGTAGTTAAAGAAGCCGCTATGAACGGAGATGTGAGAGGTCTGAGCTCGAGATATATATGGGAAGAAGACACGGAAACGGTTTGAGATAATCTTGGTTTAACAACAAGCTGTGACAGGACAAGATTGACGTTGAGGGGATGAGCAAGTGGTGGCAACATGGTTAAGGGATCACAAGAAAAGAAAAGGAAAAAAGCCAAGATTAGTACAAGCAAGAACGGTCTTGAAGACAAACGCTAGTCTATCTAGTCATGATATTGTCAGCGGTGGGAAGAATGTGAGTAAGTAAACTGAAATAAGTGCATTTCAAAGAAGCTATCACATCACATCAATCAAGTTAAGAATGCCAAGAACGGTGGGGAGAGGCTGGCCTTAGTATTGTTCTTGCATTTTGTGGCTTTGATGCTTAGTATTGTTCTTTGGGCCGCTAGACTCGTTCTGTTTGATTGCTGCTCAGGGATTGATCCGTGCATATCTTGACA